CAGGCCGCCTGGGCCAGCCTGCTCCCCGCCCAGTGGGCCACCCACTTCCCCGCGACGACGCCCGTCGGCGCGGCGAGCGTCTGCGAGGGCGGCACGCGCGTGCTGCACACCTCGGGCAAGCGCGTCTGCGTGTCGGCCGACCGCCCGCTGCCCCCCGGGCTGGAGGGTACTACTTCGAGGTGACCCTCCTGGACGTCCCCGGTGGGAAGGGGGACAGGGAGTGGCCCGAGATGGCGGTCGGGTTCTGCACGCTCGGCGGCGCCGCGCTCGAGTTCCCCGGTGGTGGGTCGGCAGCGACGGGCCCTCGACGGCCCGGAGCTGGGGGTATCACTCGGACACCGGGGGAGGTGTATTCCTCGGGCGAGGAGCTGAGCTCGGATCGCACGGTGGAAGAGCTGAGGTATGCGGTGGGCGACACGGTCGTGCCGGGGGTGGACTTGGCAAGGGGAGATTTGGTTTACGAAGAATGGGTGCGGCTGGAGAAGGTTGTCAAGGGGGTCGAGGGGCGGCTGTTCCCCGTGCTGGGGCTGCATGAGGAGGTTTGTTTTGAGACGAACTTTGGGAGGGACGGGGATGGGGGATTCAAGTGGAAGAGTGAGGTGAAGGCGGAGGGGGCGGAGAAGGAGGAGCCGGCGGTGGTGAAGCTGGTGGTGCTGAGTGGGAAGGAGGAGGCGGAGAAGACGGCTGCGGTGCAGGTGACGAGTGAGGAGGTGGTGGTTGTTGGCTAATCGTGGGAGGCGACATTGGATGCATTTCGATTTCACCGGGTAATCTGATTATGACTTGACGATACTGACGCCTGCAAATCCTTTCTCCTACTGTGTCACAGTCATAGCGTGGTCTTAACGAACCCTCCCTTCCCGCTGTACTGCAGAACACGCAGTCGCATCTATACCGATTGTTCAGATCGAATTCATGTGAAACTCTGGTACAAACTATCGACAAAGAGAGCGCGCAGTGGACCGCTCACGCGCCATGGAGTAAGTCCCCAGCACGGAGAACTTCCAAGTTTCTCGACGAAGCGACACATTTGAAAGAGTGGCATTTTTGGGTCTGCGGACTCTGGCTGACCACGTGCGTTTTCCCTGCAATTGGTCATTGGGCCGCGTTTAGGTGCGGAGGCGACTCTGCCCATTTTGGTCTCCGCGTCGCACATCTCACCTGGTCTCCACCAGCAGTCCCACATCCGTTCTACTCGCGATCATGTACGACCATGTATTTGATTCTCTGGGGGACGTCGTATTCAAACTTGAGAACCCCGATGCGCCTTTTGCTGTATGGCCCGACGACGAAACTTATCCGGCCGAGCCCTCGTCAACCGATGAACAGCCCGTCGCAACCGGAGAAGGGCCCGTGGAGCGCCACGAGCCAATCACCTTTCTTGTCTCGTCGCGCCATCTCATCCTGGCGTCTCCCGTACTCAAGGCTGCGCTGACAGGAGGATGGAGCGAAAGCTTTGTCCGCGAAACGGAAAGCCCACGCGAGATTCGTGCAGAAGGGTGGGATGTCAAGGCCCTGGTTATCATAATGAGCATCCTTCATCACAGATGGTCACAAGTTCCCTTGGAGGTTGACGTGGAGCAACTGGCCAAGATCGCCGTCATCGTCGACTATTATCAGATGCACGAAATCGGCCAGTTCATGGGTGCCCGGTGGATCCAGGGTCTGCGAAAGACGCTGCCTGTTTCCTACGGAAGAAACAGCATGCTTTGGCTGTGCATTGCCTGTGTGTTTCAGGACGCCGAGGCTTTTCGACAGGCCACCAGAGTCGCCATCAGACAGTGTCCTGGGGATTTGGAGACACTGGAGCTTCCGATCCCACCCGCGGTTGTTGGTAAGTTGCCGAGTTGCTGTTGAGGCAGGAGAGTCCGATTCAGGTCGACAAACCTAAGTTACAGAAAGGACATGACACCGCTGACAATGTGCAGACGCAATAAATACCCGTCGGACGAACATCGCTGAGGAAATTGCCGTGTGTCTCGACACCCTGAAGTACACATTTCTCTCGGGTCAGGGCGGTTGCAACTCAGCGTGCAGGCGTATACAGCTCGGTACTCTGGTGGAGAAAATGTACGACCTCCTGGGTGATGGATCAAGTCAGCCGCTCCAGGATGGGACGAGTCTTTCGGAATTTATAGATCGCGTCCGAGAGATTGAGGCCCCAGCCTGGTATGGGAACTCTTCAGGCTGTACCAGATCTCATCGTCGCGGCTCCGCCACCGGCAATTGTTGTTTACAGCGCCACAGATGCACGGCAACTCCCAAGCGGCCGGGAGAGTCATCTCCCTGGACGTCGTTTGGAGGTGAGTCCTCGCCCAGTCCGGCATTGACCGGGTCGAGTTTCATCGTGGGCTCCGCGTATCAGTTCGGCAACGCAGCTGTTAACTCTTCTTTTGGCGAGTCATCCGTTGAGGGTTTGTGCGAGCTTGACAAATGTGTCCAGAGTGCCATAGGGAGAGCAGAACTGCAGATGGACGGACTGGAACTGAGCGACTTTCTTTGATGTGATGTACCCCAATACTAGCACAAGGAACACATTACGGCAGTTGCACTTGAGGCAGGGGAGAGGCTCTTTTGTCAGCTACGTGACAAAAGCAGGAAATGTGGTTCGAAGTCAGGGAAGCGGATCAGCCTTGTCACCCCTACCTTGCAGTCACCACGTAGACTACCGTACCTACCTTAGGTAAGGTACCTGAGGCAACGGCAAGTTTCGCCGTTATGATATAGAGGCATTGATAGTCGCTCCTCACGTTGGACTCTGTTGTACAACGCCATGGAACACAATTTTAAAGCGAGGGCAGTTCTAGTCTTGGAGACATCACGTATTCCTTCGGCCCATTCATTTTCCTCCTTGCGATCCTGCCCCGTGACCTCTCTCGGTACGAGAAGAATCCCTTCGCCGTCCTCCTTGACAAACAGGCAAATGTAATGCGGTTAAGACCGATGTCATGGATACCAAGGCGGTGAAACAGGCTCGAAGGATGGATGAAGTCGATGAAGAAGATGGAGTGGCACAACGACCTCGACCCTAATCGGTTCCTCAAGGCTGAGCTGAGGAGCGGGGTCGAAGTGGAATGACATGTCTGGAAAGGGTGCGGAGCACCCTCGAAAAGTCTCGATTGGAATCGTTGTGTCGGTTCATAGGTACGTTGGAAATTCATCCATCGACCCCATATCCGAATTCTGCGCCCTCTTGCAACCCACATGACCAAAGGCGTACCCATGGCGACAGAATGGTTGGTCGCCGTGGATGATTGGATGCATTAGGTACCTTATGCAAGGGACCTTGTTACTTCAGCCCGATCTCTTGGCGGGTTACACTGGTAAAATAAGGCACCAGGTTGACATCGCATGAACAGGCAGCAGAAAAATAAAAAACTTCGGGATTCATGCATAGCCCCCGTCGGTCCCGTCCTCGCGGCGCGGCAATGAGGACAGAATGAGTTGCCATTTCGAGCCAAGCGCGCTCGGTGGATCAGACCAAAAGCAGGTACAATGCAGACCGTTTGTCGTGAGACGGGAGTCGTGCCGGTGGGTTAGCACTGCAACCCAGAACTTTTGTGAGGGCGCGGACGGTACCATGACTCACCTGGGCTTTTCTACCTCCTGCTGCCTGGCTGCACGTGCTGCGGGCTGGTAAAGAGCGTAGTCGAGTAGGATTTTCCGAGGGGCTTAGAATGATACTACTCTCGACGTATTTGGAGCGAGAATCGTCAAACAAGGAGAGTTAGGATTTGCGTTTGTTCTGTTTTTGTTTGTCACAGCCCTGCCGCTAGTGGGGGCAGATCTTGTGGCTTATTGGGACCGACCGGCTTGGCAAAATCCGCCGCCAAGCACCGAGGCATCCTTCATCTCGGCTCCGGCACCTTATAAGGAGGACGATGAGCCGCCCTCAGCAGGTGCCTGTTCTTGGAAAAATCTTGATTTCACAAACTCAGATCTGAGCCATATCACACAAGACAGTCGCCATGGCCTTCAACCTCGCCAACTCGGCCGGTGCCAACACCGATTTCCTCAATGCCTTCCAGGCCCCCGGACCAGACGTCGCTGCGCGCGGCCAGTTCCCCAGGCTAGTTGTCGCGAGAAATGGGTCCAGCGTCCCCACCGTCAACATGTTTATCGACGGCGAGTTGCCGTCACTAGAGTACGCCGCCTCGATTGTCGACGTCTGCGGTGGCGAAACCACCTTTGCCCTCCGCTGCACATCCGGTCCGGCCTACATCCCCTCAAAACAGTGTGGTGCCGACGCCGTCGTAAGTCTAGTCCCAACGCGCGCACGAGTTGCATTCTTCATCTTTCAGTAATAGTCAAACTAACATTACGTTCCAGGTTGCCACCCTGACAGCGGGATCCTCGACGTACCGCGTCTCTACAGCCACCGCCACCAGGACCAGGGGCTCCGACGTGACGGCCACGGTGATGGAGGCCTGCGACCTCCGGGGCACCACCGAGGCCGTCTGCTCGGCAACGGTCGGTGGCACGGTCGACAACAAGTCTACCTTTATCTCGAGCACAACGACCATGTCGGGGAGTGATTACTACCGCTATGATGTGGCCATCACCGGTGGCGCCGAGAAGACGGCGAACCCCTCGGCGCAGTGCAAGCCCCCTTCTTCTCCTTCTGGGGCGAGCATGAAGGCCGTGGGGGTGTGGGGGTTGGTTGGGAGTCTTTTGGTTGCTACCTTCCTCGGGTTCTGATTATGGAATGCGAAGTTTGATATGAGTTTGGGATGGGGTATTAATGATTTTGGGATGTTGAGATGGATACCTTAGATACCTAATGGGCTCGCCATGGATGATGTGAATACCCAACTAATGACATTAATTATCACAACCTTCAGATTCGACAGTTAACAAATGCATCTTTTCTCTCCCCTACCGCTCCACTGCCCTGCGGAGACAGTGATCAACCAGCATTGAGAGACTGAGGACAAGCCCAAGTCTCAAAAAGGGGCAAAAAGCGGAAAAAGTGAGTTTGTGGTGGAGCCACCAGCAAAAGTCGATCCACCCAGGGGTCGAACCTGGAACCTCCTGATCACTCATCGTAGTCAGACGCTCTGCCATTGAGCCAGCGGACCTGATTGGGTAATTGTTATGCTTGAGACCGGCAGTCAAACATATGTGGGCACAAGATTGCTCAGACGTCGTGGGGCGGGACAGAGACAACAGAGAAGTTCCTCGTGAAATATGGGACATTGCACCATTTGATGCTTGCCAATAAGCCTTGCATCACTTCAAGTCTCTTTCTTGTTGAGCAAAGCGATGCCCACAAATGTGTTTTAGCAGGACAGGACCCCTGATGAGACGTACATGTATTCTATGCGCTTCCAGCGGGTCTCCGGTTCTAATCGTTGCGTCCCGTCTTCCTGGAGCTGAGAGTCTGTCTGCAAATGCTAGAAGCCATCATTGGGAACACTGGGTGTACATCGCCAACTCGAATCACTTATCTGCCTTACCTGCCGATCTCGTTCCTAACTGGCAAACAATACAGGATTCACAAGCTGCTAGTCCAGAATCAGTCTGGTTCGGGTGTCAAGCCTCATCAGACAAGAACGCCATCCACGTGTCTGCCTGCCAAGAAACCCAGAGTCTCTCGTGCAGCTGAACTGGTCTCCATGCACAGCCGCAGTACGCTAGCGACGCGACCTCAACAAACACCCCAGGTGAGGCTTTCCCACAGCATCTCACGACTCGACCTGTTCCAGTGAATCCAGTCGCCCAGCCGAGACAAAATGATGAAGGCCTGAGGGAGCCATCATGATGCCGCCACAACCATGGCTGAGATCCTCGCCCTCGTCTCATCCATCGTCCAAGTGGCGTCGTTTGGGCTGAGTCTCTCAAAGACCCTGCACGACTACGGCGCTGCCGTCGTTGGCATCGAGAAGCGCCTCAAGGGGCTCGACAAGGATATCGACTTCACGTCGCGCATCATCTCGCAGCTCGGAACGCGCCTCCAGGACACCAAAGTGCAGGCCATTGTGTCGGAAGACACAATCCGCCTCACCCAGGATGCCGTGGCCGAGTGTCAGGCCATCTTCCAGGCTATGGAGGATGTCATCGCCAAGATCCGCAGCACCGGCAGCATGGCCAAATGGACCATCTACTTTCGCGATTCCAAGATTGAGCTGCTGCGGTCAAACTTGGACCGCATGAAGGGAAATTTGAACCTTTTGATGGGTGTTATTATCCATGGAACCCAGATGGCGGCAGAGTGAGTCCAGTCGGCATGCATTATTGCCCCTAGCATCGCAAGACTAACGATCGCAGAGAGCCGCATGGTGCCTCGGTCTCGAGCCACCGGGCAAGGATCCGGGAGCTGATGATCGAAAAGGAGCACTACACGCAAAAGTATCTAATGGAGAAGAAGAAGTACGACATGCTCTTGGAGAAGATCAACTCGACGAGTACTCTTGGCAGCTTCATCATGCTCACGACAGCTGGCGATGCCCCTGCCCTTCCACCCCCACCCGCAAATGGGGCGAACATGTTGGACGAGCCGGGTGCCACGGAGAAGCCAGAAGCAAGTGAGAGTCACCAACCACCCTTACAAGCCGATGGCATTGCGTTCGAGGCTTATAGGCCGCCCCCCCCTTTGTCGCCGGTGATTGAACTTTCGAGCTGGGCCCCATCTACTCATCCCCCGAGGGTGTCCGTCTCCTCGAGCTCTGCGTCAGAGCCCAACGCGCCACCAAACTTTGCCGCATCAGACATCGCAGCACCAACCCTCGCTGGTCCTACATCTCCAGCCATTGCTGTACGCAGCAGCCCAACGCCCCGAAGACGGGTCAAGATTGCCAAGGCAGCCAAGAAAACAGCAAAAGGCGCGGGTATCGCTCTGGTTGTCGTCTTTGGAATCGCTACGTTCCCTCTCATGGTCCCAGCATACATGATGTGGAGAAGACGCAGACGGCTGCAGAGGACGGCTGCCAACTCACCGCCCCCTGCGAGCATGCATGATCACACACCCAACGTCATGCCGCCTACAACGCTCCACCAGGACCAGTTCCCCATGTCATATTGGCAGTACCACGAGGGCGCGCCCGCCGTGGCGGGTGTCCAGCACCAGCACCAGCACCAGCCATGGTATTCCTCGCCTACGACCGCATACTACTCTCCGAGCCCGTATGAGGACCCGCAATCATACGCGAGTGCGCAATCCCACATGACGTACGACTCTTCGCGGATCCCGGCCGAGTTGCCGGCGATGCATGAGCTGGCCTCGGGACCGAGCCCGGACATCGAACTGGTCGGCCGCCTGCTGCATACCGACCGGCCGCCAGCTACATACCGACCGACTGTCGCCGAACTTCCAAAGTGATTCAGGGGAGCATGATGAACTGTGTTAATCTAGGGGAGACATGTCGAAGGGATAAGGACAGAGGCAGGTTCTGTGTTGGGAGGGAAGTCTGGCAAGAGGTTGCGATGGATGGAGGGTTTGGTTAATGACGTGCCTAAGGTACAGGGTAATTCGCGGGTTGAGGCTGTCCTCTTGCAATGGCATGTTGTGAAAAGCAACGGGATCGTCCCACGGAACTTTCAGAGGTGCAGCGCCGTAACTGCGCAAAGCAATTCACAAGAGCCCGGTCATGTTGATGCTAACCGGACTGTCGACCTCGCCTTGAGTCTTTGGCAACCCTCACATATCAACAGATAGACGAACATGTTGTGCTCAAACACTAGGAACCAACACCATGACTTTAAACCAAATCGAACCCGGATGAGCCGGTTGTCCCAACAAATGAATCCCACTTCCAACCTTCCTTCATTCCACCGCTAAGCCTTGATCCCGGCATGGTGATACACCTGCTCGGGCTGTGCCGGCGCGTACGCCACCCCCTGCACCGGCTGGCCGTACTGAGGAGGATACTGGCTTCCCCCGTTCACGTACACCACCTGCGGCTGGCGCTTGGAGCGGTTCCGCTTGTTGGTCTCGACGCAGGCGATGACAAAGGTAGCGAAGTGCAGGATCCTGTAGGTCAACACCAAGTCAGCCCCCCCTGAACTCAAACCCAGTCCAACACGAACACGCAACACCAGTCCAAAGAAGCAACGCCCAAAGAAAAGAAACTTACGTGAGCGTCGCCCCCAACCCGATCAACGCCTGCCCCATCCCCGCCACGCTGCTCAGCTTCCCGCTGATGTCGCCGCCGCCCGTGTACGAGTCGTAGTCGCTCCAGTCGAAGCCCCACCCGCCGCCGAGCGAGCTCCGCACGACCATGGTCGCGATGCCGAGCAGCCACAGCCCGACGGTGCCGCCCGCGAGGCCGAGCCAGAGGAGCAGGTCGAGCGCGACGTTGGCGCCCGGGTGGATGCCGCGGCGGCCGCCGCGGACGAGGATGCTGATGCCCTCGGCGAGGGACCAGATGGCGGAGACGGCGGCCTGGACAAGGGGGGAGGACGGGTTAGTTGTGTTCAACAGGGGGGGCTTAGAGGTGTTTGGATGGAGGTTTGTTGTTGGGGGCGAACGGGGGAGGACTGACCTGGGGCATGATGACGATCAGGGTCGGGAGGGACCAGATGCCCGTGGAGGAGATGGAGCCCACGCAGCCGATGATGGCGACGGCCAGAGCAAACTGGATGATGCGCAGGCCGAGCTTGGAGGCCCACATCCCCACCGGGGAGATGTGGGGAGGGGGAGGTTTGGCGGCTTCAAGCGACATTGTTGTGATGGTCGATTTGATGCTGGCGGGTTGCCGGTCAACGAAAAGGAGTCGAAGCGGTGGTGATGGGTTGGAGTTGAGCCCGGATAACGAGTGACTGCCCACACCTCGAAAGCTCACTTTGGAGAAGAGAACAGAGAATAAACACGGCAGTGGAGAACCTTCACGCGGGAGTGTCCGTGTCTGATATTTCTACCTGTCCTCCTCAGCAAGGCTGGAGAGCCAGAACGCTCGATCCTGCGTGTGGCTGCAGATCCTGGAACCATCTTCAGTGCGCAGGAAGAGCGTGGCCAAATCGAAATAGAACCAATTCAGCCTCACTCGAGCTCCGATAATCGTGGCAACGGAGGCAAGGCATTCTCCTAAACCTCCCATACAATCGCTGAATAAAATCATCACCCCGGCCGCCTCTCATCATGCACGACGAGATTTGACCCGGGGGAGGCTGAAGCAGCAGTCACTGCCAAGGCTCGATAGCGCAGCCATTTCGCTTCCCATCGCTTGGATCTCGCGTCAGGAGAGGGTGGAAGATGCCGGGGATGCTGCGGCTGAGAGGCACATTGACGGACAAAGTCGTGCAGCCCCGGCTTGTTTCACCGCATTTCCTTGTTCTGCGGCTGGACCTTGACTGGCTCGTCCCCGGCTTGGTGAAAGCTTAAAGCAGTTTGACGCCAGCCAGGGACGCGACCCTGCGGCTCTGCGCCTCGTCGTTGGCCACCTGGACCAATGCAGACAGATCGAGTCGATGTTTTCAGAGGCTGAACGCAACCACATTGGAGCGAGCTTGTGCGTGCTGGCATCGCCCCCTGATGCCAAGCATGCCCGGGAGCGGGCTGTCCTCCGGCTGCAGTCATCCTTGATCTGTGCGACACCTCCTGTTCTCGTTCGTTTTACTCTCTTGCTGGCATTGTTTCATGCCACACGGGAAAAATGCTCCGCCTCAGGGTCTGCATCATAGTTCTCAATCTCATAGAGCTGGTCAGGGGGCAAACCAACTGCCTCGTAAGTGTCCTCCGATACTAGTACGCCGTTGAGAGTTGAGCAGAAGCTGATTTAATCTTAATCACAGAACGTTTGCGTCCCAACTCTCCTAAAGATCACGGGTGGATGTGCCACGATCAAGTGTCAATGTACAGGGTTCAATGATCCCCGCTACATTGAGTGTATGCAGAAGGACTGCGAATCGACATTAGAGTGTGAGTCTGGCTGACTTTTCCATGTGCGATTCTTAGTTTTGCTTGCCAAAGGCTTAACTAAATTACTGACTGGGCGCCTCAATATAGCCAACCGCGACTCTCTCGTAGGTCTTTGTGCTGCCGAAGGCGTCACCCTCGACCCCATCACCAACACCGGACGTCCATCGGCGACCTCCCTGACTACTGTTGCAACCTCTTCGACTCCGCGGGTCAGGAATGTTA